AATATACTATCCTCTATAGCAAAAAGCTTACCTCAACTTTTACGGGTTGTCTCGTCCTGTATTTCGCTCACGGCTTTACGTTTACGGCGAATTGATATTTCTTGTATAGAAACTTGCGCATTTTCACGCTGTGGAGAGTAAAGGTAATAGCTAAATATTTTTATAGCTTTTAAAGTCAATATTCAAAGGATGGGTAATATTTTTATCGTGGCTATTGCAGCTTGTGCAGATGCCGATGTGAATTCGGATCAATGTAACTCCGTAACATTTCTAATTTTTTTTTTTTTAAATAGACAGGGAAAATTTGATTAAAGTGATTCAAATACTTAGGTCATCCCTAAATTTGGGCTTCGTTAAATGAATTCGTACAGAGTTTCCGTTTAATATCCGCAATTTTCTCAGTATCAGAAATATCACTAGATGGACAGTGCGCAACGCGTTTAAACCGGTGATTTCTCCTCTTTTCTCGTCCGGTCTCGGTCAATAGAGTTCGGAGAGCGCTGCTCATTTCCAGAGACAGACTCGGTTATAACCAGACAGAGATCGATACGATCGATTCGCTCCAATTTTCTCGGAGTATCGCGTTTTATCGAATCTATATCCTCCTTAGCAGATCGTTGCCCGGTCTGTCGAGCACGGGAGTACGTTCAGCCTTCCGTCGATTTCGCATTTTAAACTGCTGATTCGACGGACAGCGATTTATCTCGGATACTGCAACGACAGGCAAACATTATTACGCCTTGTTATCGAGGGGCTGCAGCTCTACGTGCGATTCCTCCCTCAACTTTCTCTTCTTCCAGTTTCTTCCTTCGTTCGCGGACCCGTTTTACTTCGAGCAGCGAGCTCTTGATCGCGATAGTCGACCGGCACCGAACAAACTTTTCAATGCTCACAGTTATGGGGCTAATATGATTGCAGGCGCTGACGACAGTCGATGAATTCGATACCAAAGTGTTGCGTGCGGAAGGAAAGGTTAAAATTATCGAGAAGTTGAAAATGATTTCAGTATGGATAGACTTTTACACATTCGTAACTAACAATCACGAAAATTAGATTAACCTCAAGTAAAATTATTGTGCTAAATCACAGTACCAAGTTGTAGGATCGTTGATGAATCGAGAGCATCGAATTATTCGACCGAATTATTAAATTTAGTATATAATCGTCTCAAGGATCGAGAGCGAAAGAATTAATGAATTTTTTAGGATAAAGAAGTTGTCTCGAAAGTGAATTAATTATTGATTTGGATTTGAATTACCGGTCAAGTTTCTCGCTCGAAAGGGAGGAATGCTTGAAATGCTGCAACTTTGCTGAACGACTGCAACATGACGTCCATTTAGCAGCTAAAGTTGAAGTTGATGTTTGCCGCAATTCAAGAGCTGGAGCACCCACTATGAACCCCCACCACTTTAACTTTCAAGTGACTTCGTCGCTCGTGCGTGAAACATTTTGATCCCTGTTAAGTGTTAGCTTCTAGCATATACCATCGATAAATTTCACTTCATACATTTTGTAAATTAACTACGTCGCTATCTCTACTTCATAGAGGACCAATGATGCACTCGTTAATAAAGTCATTCGTATTATATACAGTCATTCCCATAAGTATTCGTACTTTCTATATCTACTGAAGAAATTTGTTTAAATTAAATGGTAAGTTTGATGTTTTCAAGTGTATGTTTATATAAATATGTTGATGCATATATGAATATACATATACATGTATAAGCTTATTCATATACTTCTTCAATAGACATAGAGGGTACGAATATTTATGAAATACGAAGAATAATAACATTTACTGTACTTTTAGATCAATTTTCTAAATAATTTTGTATGCTGCAAGTTCATTTGACAATTTTATAACTTAATGCTAGTTCATTCCTAGAGGACCAAGAACGTCGAACAAAAAGAACTCCCAGGTTGAAATTGATCCTGAAAAATAAAGGGACCCGGTAAAAATTTATAATTCATTCGAAGATTAATCTATTCCACCCCAGCTGGCGCGATTCGAGTCTCGTTGGTGATGTCTCGTGGAAATTCCGTAAAATTTAATACGGTGCTTGTAGAGTCGGTGTCCCGGAGTTTGATACAGAAGAGTTAAAGAATCGTTAGGCGCGACAGGATTGCAGGAAGACTGCCGTTTCGAGGCGAGGGCTGCAGCGAGAGTCGCCAGGACAAAGGGTAGAGCGAACAGGCGCCTTAGCAGTCGTTTATCATTATTATAAAGGGCTCAGCAGTGAATAATTACGTCTTAGGAAACTCCCGCATCGGTGGCTGTGCTCATACCGATTTCTAAGCGCGCTCCCCTGACCCGGTTTCAGCAACTAACGCGGCTGAAATTGTTAATTGAAAACCGATGTTCTGTTTCGCGACGCCGAGAGAAAATTCAGAGTCCCAGTGTTGTTCGACAGTGAAAGGACTAGTCCCCCGCAGTAGTTGACGTTCGAACGCTTTGGAATATCAAGTAACAACAATCCTTGGAGTGTTTGCAAGGAAATTCCACGCGGGCAAGAGTTTCGACATCGCAATTTTGGCGGAATTTGGTTGGGCCTTGGTGCTTGGAACGATTGACATGCTTTGAGGAGAACTGGGTAGTTAGATCGCTCTTAAATGATCTTTTCTTTGGGAATTAATTGCGAGAATGCAATGACAATGTTTATATGAGCTGTTCATTGCACGAATCGATTAACTCCTTAAACAAAAACTTGAGAAATGCGATGAAACAACGTACATTGTTTTTTAAAATGTGTACACTACAAATTAGAGAAAACTTTGGGAAAAGCATTAATTTCTTATCCCGCCCCAAGTTACAATCAACGCAATTAAAATCTTCTGAGCATCTGGGGCCATTTCAGTCCCTCTACCTCGTCGAATTTCGCAATCAGAGCATGAACCCTTTGTCCCTTCTCTCGTGAAAGGCGTCGACGAGTAGATGGCCTTCGTTCACGCTCGGGTTCTAGATAAAGTCTGCGACACCTCGTCAACGAAATTCCCGGGTTCTTCGAGGACTTTTCCGCGTACGCAAAGGACAGATATTCCCTGTCCACGGTGCCTTGCTCCCTTTGAACCTGCAAACCTAGGAAGGTGATTATCTCGGGAGGCATGCATCAAGAGAGGCGCTCCGTCTACGAGGAAGATCATATTTGAATCCGAATACGCTACGACGCGACCCGTGGCAACGCGGGCAGGACATCCGATTTACATTAAATTTACATTGCTATAACTCGCCTTCGCGTCTGAGATTGATACACGGCACAGCACAGGCGAAAGCTCTTCGACGTAGAATACTCTTTCATTTGATATAACCTGCTAGGAAACGTCGATACGTGTCACTCCCTTTAGGTGGAATCATTCTTAGCCTCTTTTTATCGGATACCAGCTGGACGCTTTCGTTTCCCATTCGTATGCTCAATTTTCCGAGCTGCGAGTCTTAACTAAAAACACTAAGGATTTTTTTCTTCATACATTTGAGTCGTTCAAAGAAGCCTCTGAAATAAATTATTTATTATTCAATGGCCAAAATAATTTTGTAATTTGATAGTGTTAATTTCTATTATTCAGGAAAGTTGTTTAAACATTTATTTGGATACTTGAAGCATTTATTTAAATTAGACAAATTTCTTCGATAAATATAGAGGATACAAATACTTATGGAACTGACTGTATAATTGATCGAGTTACTTGACATATTTGCTCCAAATTTTCGAAAGACCATCTCCCTTATCTCTCTCGCCTCGACATACCAGTGTGATGCTACATATTCGTTTCGGGTTTCCATACTCCATCATTATGTTAATCGACGTTGAATACCATAGTGAAGCCGAGTATTACTAATCTCAGCTTCGATAAATCATAATTCACTCATTGCGAATCCCCGTATTAGAACAAAGCTGAAATCACACCTGTCAGTCTAATTGGTTACATATTCGTCCGTCTGGAATTTTGTATGCTCTGTGATCAGCCTATTGTCGAAGTTTGAACGATGTACACGAAACTGAAACTAGGAAAGGCAAGAGTTTAGGAGCATTGTTTATACATAGTTCGATAGACAAAGCGTGTATTACATCCATTGTTTTCATCGGCCAGTCAAATTAACTCTTCGACGTGGAGTACCGAACGCTGCTCGCTCGACTCGCATTGTGCACGCTCTCTCGTTTAGATCTCTCGAAACCGAATTGCGTAGATGTAATGATGCCTCCTTCAGATAGAAAAATACTTTTCTTACACTATCAAAAAAAAAAAAAAAAAAATAAAAAAAAAATGAATGCATAACCTGTTACCTGATTAGGGTCCTGTTATTTAGAAACACTCTCAGAGGGGGATAAGACGAGTTAACTCTGTTACACTCTAACAGAAAGACCATATATTTTTCATTCCCACTGCAATGGCAATATATCTTCCCATCTTTTTTCGTTTATCTTTTGTTTACACTCGCGATCTTCACACCACAATGGCCGTTTCAACAGTTTCGCGACAGAAATATAACGGAATGGCTCTCAAACGCTTTATATACGAAGAATTATTTTCATCGCGTTGACATTTATCGTTTGTCCTCATACATCTCCTCTAAAGAACGAGTGATTCCAAACTAGGGACAGTTGAAATTGTACTAAAATAATAAATGACAGGAACACTTTACATCTCCACTGATCAACTCTTTATTTTTTATTTGTTCGGGATAGAATCGTCACCTTTTAAAATCACATTATAGGACATTACATGAGTACTGTATAATAGTCTATAATAGTTTGTAATGTATAATATAATATAATAGTATAATACTCTATAATATTATCTTAATACATAATTACTCAGACATTTAAAATCATCAAGTCATCCAGCGCGCAAGGCAAGCACAGGAGGTCCAACTTGAAATCCAAACACTGATAATTTCGATTATAATCCAGTTAGGAATAAAACACGCACCGTCAAGGCAAACATCGACATTGCCCAACATCGTCCATGATCCTCTGACGATCGATTCGTTCTGTTTGCAGGTGTCCTGGGTCCGCAGACGCGGCGAAGAACTTCATTTGCTCACTATCGGCTTGGACACGTACGCGAGCGACTCCAGGTTCACGTTGGCCTTTGAGAAGCCCAATGATTGGCGATTGCTTTTGCGCTCGGCGACCGAACGGGACGGCGGCCTCTACGAGTGTCAAGTCAGTGCCCATCCCCCATTAATCAGAACTGTCCATCTGACGGTGTCAGGTGAGTAAACGTGTCTTTGTATACGCGCGCGCGCGTGTATATTTGCCCGCATCCAGTTGTCACGGCTCGAAGAGCAATCGCGGCTCTAATTTCTAGCCGGCACGTTCTAGAATATATGCTCTTTAATCTGACTACTTCGGTGCCACCGATAAATCAGACTGCACGGACGGTGGTCAAAGTGGGACGACTAGCGATAGATCTCTGCTAATCAACCGTAACGAGAGTTTGACGGGGTGCGCGGAGATTATCGGTTCTACCGTTTTTCCTGCGGTGACAATGAACACGTTGCTGTTGCCCATTTTCGACATACACTGGACAACAAGATCACATACGCCATTGTTAACCTTTGGGTGAAATCACGTGACGATTATACAATACAAATTTTAGTATCAATTTCGGATGGTCAAACGTTGGTTATCTGGAGAAATTCAATTTTGAATGGAACCAACTTCGGTGTCTGACCATTACCGACAATTTCCACTTGCGACCTGTGCAAAGAGGTGAGTTGTGGCAGATGAAGTTTTCTGGATGAAAATATGTGAAGATTATACAATACAAGTTTTAGTATCAATTTCGTATGGTCAAACGTTGGTTACCTGGAGAAATTCAATTTTGAATGGAACCAACTTGGGTAATGTGTCTGACCATCATCCACCATTTCCACTTGGGTCTGTGTTTGCGATCAGAGAATGGAATTTGTCTCAACTGGCTCTAAATTGCTGAAGGATAGCAAGATTGACGGAAAACAGATAATATTATGCTACCCATTAATTCAAACGGCCATCAAGTCAAGGAGGAACAATGAGTAATGGGTGGACTCGTTAGCCAAGTCGTACCGACAAGGAACGTTCGCGTTGCCCCTTCCGATTCTGATGAAACTTTGCTGGTTTGTGGAATGGTTGAAAATAAACGGTCTCGCAAGTTTAAAGGATGAAACTACCCTCTAAACTTGGACCTCCAGTTTCGTATGTAATTTTATATCTTTTGAAATTCAGGTGTTCTCGAGGAGTTTCTGAAATATTGTTCGAATCTTCATTGAAAAATAAATAAATCCGAACTGGATGAATTGGTAACAATTTTCTTTGGACAAAATTCATTAGTTCCATACGATCAGATATTCTAAGACTAGGAGTTAGCTAGCTATCGTTAACTACCTTGAATTACTAGAAAATAGATAATCCTTTACATTATAATACTCATGAATAGAGATCCACGTAGTGGCCGCGTCCCTTCATAAAGCGCTCGCAGATAAGGGCACGTGGAGTATTATATTCTACGTTACAACGTTCCCAGTGTCCAGAGGCTTAATTATTACAAGCTTTCGCAGAACCAGTGTAACTTCAACCCATATCGTACAAATTATACGTTTCTCAAACAGTCCTAATTTTCGTGGAATTTGCACAAAATGACGTCTGATATAACTTCACCTCGGTTTAAGCTAATTATACGTAATCCGTTAAATTCGTGTAATTCCGCGAAAACTCATTGGCCATTTTTCAGAGCATATAAAAGTATCAATTCTTTTCTTTTTTAAATTACCTTTTAGATACCAATGGCTATGAAATATTACCTTGTAAAATTTCTGTCATACTTTCGTTATTTAATCGAATAAACTCCACGAATAAACACTTGTAATTCGAATAAAATTTCGCTCATTTCCGGCACAGGGTAGTCACTGAAAAGCGCGTCCAACCCTGTGAACGGTTGCATATTACGCCCTCGTCGAGTTAATCTCGTCGAAGTGATGGGGACAAAAACCAGCCTCATTATTCTCTTAATCTGACCCTGCGAAGTATCTCGGGAAAGTTGGTTCGTGGATACATAATCCACGCGTTCCACGGAGCATTTTCGCTGGACCATAAATCACGAAGGCTCGCGTCGTTAGGGTCGTCCTTGTCGTGGCATAATGGCGATCTTGGTGCTGTAACGATGTCCTCGTGGCACTCCGGGCTCCAGCGTACGTACACCCCTTAATTGGAACCCCCTCTGCTCGCTGCGTCTCTCTCGATCCTACCCTGTTTCTCGCTTGTTGTTTCTTTCGTTCTATCGCTTAGCGAGCCACGCAAACGCGTTTCGGCGATACGGCACGGATTTGCCGATACATTGTCGGCTTTATGGTTACAGCTGCCCAGCAGAGGGTGTAATACCCTTTCTTAAGATTGATAATGTGCTGGCTGTTCGCGTTATTGGCGTTCGGGATTTTTCTTCGAAATTAATGGATGGTGATTAAATTGTGGAAACAATTCTCCTGCTTTATTTTGTTTAAAGGTATTTTTCAGTAGATATAAATCTATCTTTTTTTTTTTATTACTTTTGTTCCTAGCCCTTTCAGACATGAATTATTTTTTTTCTCGTGCTAATGTAAAAATAAAAAAAAATCCTAATAGTGTAGTTTTCGAGGAAAAGTGGTCTTTCTTCATGTGCACAAATAAGGACATTCGCTCTAAACGATAGTGTCCCCAATTGTGGAAGCCAGGTCTGAACGGATTAAATTGCTTCGCTTAACATGGGCCCTAATTAATATTTGTGAATTCCAAGCCCCTGAATAATGGTTCAATTACTGACATCGTTGATGGTAACCAGATTTGCTACTTGGTTACTTCGTTACTAACAAAGGTTACGTTTCAAGCCAGTATTGAATTAGCCATTCCCTGTGTAAACATTATCTACATATACCTAGTGCTCGAAGTTGTTTCAGTAAATTCCCTTATGACAACCACGAATGTTCACTTCGCGGGGTTTAATTCAACCATCCCCGAGCAACATGGAAACTCCATAATCGTTAAGGAAAAATGGATGCTCCTGAGATGATTCGTTACATAAACGCGGATAAATATGGATGAATCCTCGACGAAATGGTTGAATATCGCGTGAGCGGGAGCTCGCGAAACTACGCAAACTCTGTGTATAGAGCGGAAGTGGAGTATTTGTCACGGTTATCACTGATGAATCTATGCATTTCGAATGCACGGAGATTCGTCAAATGAATCTATCGCTAATCCCGCATTGTTTTGAATATTCAAACTTAAATTCTATGTCACTTCGAATTTTATTACATCTTGCAAATGAACTGTATTTCATTTCTCAGAACAGAAATGACTTCTAAGCACAGAAACAATGCTTTATTTTTATAAAGATCAATGGTAACCTCTCCGTTGCCTATAATAGAAACGAATGAAATACAATTGTATTGCATTAGGATACGATGAAGTACGATTTTGATGTTATCCCCGATGCAGACGCGATTCATCCGTGATAAATACTTTCCTTGTACCCTGTACATTCTACTATAGACACGGGTGCAGGATCCGCTGACGCGTGTCGTAAACCGGCAGTTTACAGTGCCAACGGCTCATACGCGATCGGTTGAATACTGCTACATCGGGGTAATATCTTGCTGCAAGTCGCCCATTAAACTTCGCGTCTTCGCAGTCGAGGTTAATATTCCTCGACCTGGTTTCACTTCCTTCTTCGTTCCAGTTCTCCCGCCGTTGCTCGATGAGATGCTCGACGCATGAAATTGTCTCATTCCAATCTTAACTTTCAAACTGCTTGTCCTCTTGTACGCTTCTACCTTCAATCAAATCCATTAGAAGAAGGAAGAAGTATTTCGGATAGATGAATTATTCTATGGAGAATTATCTTCTTTGCTAGAAGCTATTTAACACAAAATAATTCAAGGATTGCGATAGACGCAGCACACGATAAAACTGAAGCTTTTCGTTTTTCGAAACGTTTAAATAAATAAATATAGGTTTCTCCAAAAATTTGTCTGAAACCTCCCTCTGGGAATAATACATACTTCCAAGCCATTATGGTCGTACATGTATCCGCAGCTGAGTACATCGCGACTCACTGTCACGTAATGAATCAGGTTTTGTAATTCTCAAGCCGCTGAACTTCTGGCTTAATGCACTTCCGTGAAGTTAGATTACCGAGAAAACGACGTCTTATTCGCTTCTTTCATTCGAAGAAGGGAAAAAACTTCTTCGAGGTGGTCCAACTTCAGGTAACTCAAGCTGAAGAGCTTTCATCGGCTGAATAATAGCACACGTTTACTTTGTGATACAGTACGGATGCGTGTGTACGATTTCAACGACGTTTTTTTACATGAAACAACGCCTTCCGCTCTACGGCTTTCGCTATGAACGCGCAAAGAATGTCGGGGGACTCGTCTCAAGTGGTCCGGGCACTGAAAGAGGTTGTTGTTTTTTCAACGTTCTTTTCTGGGTAACCGATTGTCGCAGTTTGCATTTTTAGTGTGTTACTGGTGCATTCGACTGTGTTGAATTGACTTGTGTTGAAGACATTTCGATCATTTATTTTTGGACTCTTTGGTTTAAAGATTTCTTTTAAAATCAAGATTGCCTATTCAAGAAAGACAAATTGAACGAAACGAGTTGACTCGTGAACTGGAAAGCCATTACCTGCATACTTAAGATCCTTTATATGCTTCCAGTTGGACACCAGGGGAATAGAGTACGTGAGAACGTTGGCAAATTGAGTTGCATTTATATTCCTGTTCCTTCTGCTACTATATTTCAAGCATTAATTTCTCGATAAACTGGATTTTTATCGTTCTCATTCTAAAGGCTTCGATTGAGAAATATATAAATATTACTCCAGCAATTTAATTTATGTTAATTCGCAAATAATTATAAACAGCTTTCTCAAATAATTTCATTATCATTATACATTTATCGTATTCTTTGATCTAGCATGAGTTAGACCTCGCGTGCAGTCACACGACGAGTTTCAGCTTTTTAATTCGAGGCGATAACGTTTATTTCGAGACATGTTCCTTTGAACCTTAGCTCTAGAGTGGCTTGATTGACGTTTGAGACTACATAGTAGTACGTCAGTCTTTCAGTATTAGGAAGTGACTAGCCGGATAAGCGTGAGTAACGCGCGCGTGCCTATCTCGCATTCTGATCCTTTTTACATTGTCACACCTGTGGGTGACGTGCATATTTATGTCCCTTAATTTTAATTCCAAGCTT